GAGAGAAACAAGAACCACCACAAACCTCCACAGAGGGACAGAAAGTGCTGAACTCCTCGTAGGGAAATATTTACTCTCAAGTCTATTGAGCTTATCTGCTGACGTCTCCCTTAACTTTTGCTCCAAGTTCCCGTGTGCGGTGAGATAGTTTGCCTCCGCTCGGCCACCGTCCGCCAGCGTTCAGCATATTTTGTCCTCTGGCTGCTGCCGTCTCGGATTACTCACCGATCCGAGTTGTGAGGGAGAGGTGTCTGTTTCGGGGAAGCCGGCTTGTGTTGCCGGCGCCATGGAGTCGCCTTTTAGTCCAGTTCTTTCTCATGGACCAGATGAAGACTGGGGTGAGTGGATCCGCGAATGTACCCGAGCTAGGTCGGGCCGCGTCTGCGGGGGTTTTTCTCCCGATTTCCGCCCGGTGGCGGTGACAGGTGTGGACGAACCAAGTCAAGGGAGCGAGGCCACGGGTTGCGGGGTCGTGGAAGAGACTGGCAGAGCCGCTGGGCTTCTGTCCTGGCCGCAGCGATAGTGAAATGATGTTCTAATTGAAATTGCTGTAGTTTTTCAGCGTGTGTTCCTGGTGGAAATTCCAGATTATCTTAGGGACCAGAGCTCAGTAGGATGACTGTAGCTTCCCCAAAGGCTCCAAGCTATTTTCTCAGACTGTGGGCGTGTGGGTGGGGAGCGGAGTGTGTGCCTGCGCATATGTTTGTGTGTGCACTGCACGTTTACGAGGTATGTTGAGAAAACATGGTTGAAATACAGAAGAAAATCCTTGTCTCCCAGCTTTAACTATTGGTTTAAGACATCTATCCAAATTGGCAAAGAAGAAACTCGCCCAAGCACCTGACCTTGTGTCCCTGATTACTAGATCTAACACAAACTGATGTAATCCTGACTGCTGTCCAAACACAGCTCTGAAATCTCTTGTTACATCTAATTTTGGTGTTCAGGAAGGATGGAATAGAGAGTGACTAAAGACAAGCTTTGGCATCTAAATCCTTAGAAAAAGCTGATATTCCCCCTCTTGATTAGAAGACAGAATGTTAACAGGATTATGTATGTTAATATATGAATTTGGAGTTTTGTAGGTGCCTCAGTTTTGGGGTGTCCTTCAGTTTTGGGGACACTTTTCTTTCTTGGACCAACATTCCACTGTAACATGAGTGGATTCTCGACCAGGAAGTATTGAGCATCCTAGTTTAACTTAACAGTGGCAGATGTTCTCTACAGTTAACAGTCCTTGGGCAGGTTTCAACAACTTTCTGGGAAAAAAAAAAACCCAAACTTTAAATGTCCATTCTCTAGTGTGTTTTCCCAGCTAACTACTTTTGTTATAGTCATAGCAGTCACTTGTTTACAACACTATTTTTGTCAGCTATTCTGCTAAGCCCAGTACATGTGTTATTTATGTTATGTTTTTAACAGTTCAGTGAGGTCCTGCCGTTCTATAGATGTTGAAACCGAGGCTGACATAATCTGTTCTCTGAGTCTTAGACTAGTACTAGGTAAAGTAGGATCAGAACCAGGCTTATCTAACTTTGAAGTCTGTGCCTCTGGTTTTTCTACTCTGTAACACTTTCCTAATTGTTTCTCTAAAGGCTGGATTCTTCCTAATGCTTCTGTAGTTAACAAGTCTACTTCTGTATGTTGGGTAGTTAGGATTAGTTTTCTCAACCATTTGACCATTATGTTTGTGGTATTTCTTCAAAGTATAACTATGAGGCACTTCCTGATAGTATTATTTTGTCCTAGATTCTGATTCTTAGCTGCATTTTCCTAACTCCTAATCTTGATTCTTCAACAACATTCAGTTCTTTGTAGTCAGCTGACTGACTCCTTTTGTAGGTATCCTGCCCTGTCTCTTCTTGAGTATGTCCTTTTCCCAGTGCTTTTTAGGTTTCTCTTTTCAGACTGTTAACAATTGTCTCTTGGCTCAATACTTTTATCCCTCAGGTGTTCAGTAGGTAGGATAGATTTTGTAGGCGTTATAGTTCAACACTACTGTCTACTAGGGTTTCTCAATAAAAGAATGTTTTTTTTTTTTTTTTTTGGTAGTTGCTATTTTGGATGTTTGGTTATTTTACTGATGTATTTAAAAGTGATTTAACAGCTGTCCTGTTAGATTTTAAAAGTTGGATTTTATAATTAGTATTTCTTATGAAGAACAACTTGTACAATTTGAAGGAAGTTATCTCAGCACAGGGTATGGTGGGATGTACTTCTACTTATTTATTTTCTAAATGTGACTAATGACACTTAGAGCTGACATCTACACTCGGTTTTTGAAAAGGTTCAGATAGCAGATATTTTAGGCATCACTATCCTGTGGTCTCTGTTGAAGCTGCTCTGCCAAAGGGAAAAAGCAGCCATAGCAGAAGGTATAGGTGGGCGCGAATGGCTGTGTTCCCATACAGGCTTATGGAGACTGTCATTTGGGTTTCACATAGGTGCAGTTTGTTATTTCTTTTACTTATTTTTTACTTAGGATCTTTTAAAGACGATTGTGTAGCCCAGGCTGGCCTCAAACGTCTGATATCCCTGCCTTAAGCCTTCTGAATGCTGAGATTACAAGCATACAGTACCATACCTGGAGGACGTTTGAGATAAGGTTTTGCTATGTAGTGTAGGTTGGCCTACAGCTTTCATAAGTTTCCTGCCTCTGGCTTCCCAATTGTATTTGACATTATCACTTAATAATCCTTTTAAAAGTTCAGCTTTAGAATTTAGAGTAACTGTACAAATAGTACATGCAATTCCATGTACTTCTCTCTGCTGTTCCCTCTACTGGTGACATCTTACGTTACCATGCTGGTTAGGTTTTTTGTTTGTTTTTAATTCTACACAAGCTAGAAACATCAGGAAAGAGGGAACCTCTATTGAGAAAATTCCTTCATCAGATTGTCATGTAGGCAAGTCTATGGGTCAGTTTTGTTTTTTTTTTTGATTAATGATTGATGTGAGAGGGCCCAGCCCATTGTGGGTGGTGCCAACCCTGGGCAGGTAGTTCTAGGGTGTATAAAAAAGCAGTCTGAGCAAGCCACGAGGAGCAGCATTCTGACATGGCTTCTGCTTCAGTTCCTGTTTCAAGGTTCTTGCCCAGGCTTTCCTTCATGTAGACACTGATTAGCACATGTAAGCCAAGTAAACCCTGTCCTCTCCAAGTTACTTTTTGTCATAGTGTTTTATTACAAAACCGGAAAGCAAACTAAAACAATTAACATTGTACTGCTAAGATGGATAAGCTAATGCTGATCAACTGTTTCTTTTCTCTTCCTTTTTTCTTTTCTTTTCTTTTTGACATAGGGTCTTCTTATGTAGTCTAACTTGGCCTGGAGTATTTGCTGTAACTGGGCTTGCCTTGACTTCTTAATGCTCTTGTCTCAGCTTCCCAAGTACTAGAATTAAAGGCATGAGCCACCACACCAGGCTGGATACATTAGTATTAAGTAGAGAATGAGCCTTAATACAGGGGTTTTGACAAATGTGATCCAAGCCCATCATTACAGTGTTGTGTAGAGTAGTGTGAGTGTCTCTCTCCTAAGCATTCCCTGAGCTCCTCCACCTGCTCATCCCATACCCCAGAACAGATCTTCTCACTGTCTCCACCATTTTGCTTTTGTTGTATAGTTGGAACCGAGTAGTGTAACCTTTTCAAACTGACTTCTTTACTTAGTAGTTTGCATTTGAAGTTCATGTGTCTGTGTCTTGATGACTTACTTCTTTTAGCACCCAGTAGTGCTAAATAGAAGGGTTTTGACAAATGTAAAATGAGAAGGATCTGCCATTACAGTAGTATTCAAGATATGGAGGATTGCGAGCTAGCATGCTCATCAGGGTTTGTTAGCCCTCTTCTCCACTTGTAGATGACTGCCTTCTTGTGTCCTCACATGGTATTGAGAGTTACTATTCCCACAGCATCATTTAACCTTAGTAATCTTCTCAAGATTCTGTCTGATTTAGCCGTATTAGGGATCAGGGTTTCAATATGACTTTTGGGAGGATATAATTCAGTTTGTGTTTATATATCTGTTTATCTGTTTATATATCTGTTTGTGTGTATATGTGTATATGTAGTTTGTATATCTGTTTACATGTTGCTATCTTGGTGCTTCTGGTTTTTAGCAGTTATACATGTAGCTGCTCTAAACATCTGTGTGCAGGTTTTTGTGTTGGTGTAAATTTTCATATCATTTGGTCTGATTCCAAGGTGCATAATTACTGGATCATATTCTAAGAATATATTTGGTTTATAATAAACTGCCAAACTTGCATTATTCTGTGTCTCCACTAGCAGTGAGTGGATGTTTCTGTTTTCTGGTATTTGCTGTTGCCAGTACTTTGGAATTTAGCTGCTTTAGTGGGCATGTGGTGGCACCTTGTTTTAATTTGCAAATTTCTAATATTACATGGTGTTGGTCGTCTCTCCATGGCTAATTTGCAATCTTTCCTTTCCCTCTTCTTTCCTCTCCTCTTCCTCTTACTCGAATTGTGTGCAAAAGTCACTTTTTCTTTTTTTAAAAGCCGCTTAAGAGATGTGTGCCAAGATGAGAAGCTTCCTGCCGCTGTGGTCTTTCTCATGCCTTTAGTACCTTTTTTGAAGTTTCTCTTCCTTTTCTTGCGCTAACCAAAGCATGACACTCCCCTGATGACACAGCTTTCCCCGAAGTTCTGGTGAAAGCTTTCTGCACACAGCAACTCAGAATATAGTAGGTGTTTTCTTATCATTCTCTGCCACCTCCAGAGCATGGTCCTCTCTTCTACACTAAGTATCTAGGTCTGAATCTTTGGTCACAGTATACAGTCTTCCACCTCATTCTATCGATGAGGTCTGCTGATTATTCAGTCACTTTCAGTCCCTTCTCAGAAGATGTAGCTGCTAGCTTCCAGTTACTTTCTCCAACAAGCTGCTGCTGGGATTCTTGGATATTTCAGTGGGCGTGGCCAGTCTTTTCTCAAGTCTTGTTACTCTCTCTCTCTGATGATTGTTCCCCAAAGCTTTCCTTCTTAGCCTCTTAACATCTCCTCTTTCATGTTCTGCATTAGAACGTCCAGTCTCTCTCTGTCTCATCTCACTTACCTGCATGCTTGCCCTTCCCCCATGTAGATGCTGAGGGTGGCCTCTTGTTACTAGAGACACCAGTTTTCTCTGTAAGTTTCAACTCCCTCATGCTTTATTAAAAATGCTACCCAAGCTCTTTCTCCTAAATATTTCTCCCGTCTCTGTTAGAAACAAACATGTAGTTAGTTACCTTCTCCTATGTGGGGGAAAAATTCCAAACTTCCCTTAGATGTCACTTTCTCTCTTGCTGTCACCACATTTCTCCGCCCGTCACCTTTTTTC